CCAGAATTTAATTGCAGGCAGTTAATGCCCTATGAGTCGTGGCAGTCCTACTACATTATTARCTCCAGGAATATTTTGTTAGCCAAGCAGAGCCAGCCCAGGAATGAGCTAGCACTAAAATGGGTGTCTTTAAGTGCATTATTATAGCACTGGGCTAACATAAATAAGGTGCAATTCTGGCCGTGCAGAGTGCAAGGCTTCTGGTTTGCAGCTGAATTATGTCCAGTCAGCTCTCCAGTCTGGCCAGAATWAGCCTGGTTTTTATCTGCAAAATGCAGAAACTAGCAATTTCTAAACTAAATCAACACACTATCTTCTTGTGCATAAAGGCACGCCCATTAAACCCTTCAACCTGAAGTCTGTAAACAAACTGATTTAAGCATTGAAACTACTTAGAAGGTTAAGAAGCTGCATGAAGTTTACTTCATTCAAAAACTTTGTATTTCACTAATCTGTTCAACTCTTGATTTTCATCCCCTCCTCCCTGTTCAACTGCCCTACTTCTTAATTTCTGAGTCACAGTCAGAAATGGCAATGAACCAACTGCATCCAAAATGTAATTTGATGCTCTTTAAAMACCTAAATATGCTCTCAACTCAAACCAAAAATACTATGAAGACCTGGCCCACTGTCTAAAGGCTGTCAAAACCTATCATGAAGTTGATTACAACCAAAGTTTTCACTTTTGTCATTAACTCCTCTCATATCAAAGGTTCRTCTTCTGGCAGTAGCAGCAGCCTAAGTGGTTTCCCCACTAAATTTACCARTAAGTCACGTTGTTACTGCACAGGAATGAASTGGAAAACTGATCTCTATTAACAAACTTTCCACTATTTATTTGACCTGCTGAAACCCTAAAATTTTTCTAGCACAAATGAGCAAACACAGGTAATGTGAAGCAACGACTTGCACCAGCAGACAGCTCATGAGATCACACCTAAAGCACTTCGCTACGTGTAAAAATTGGTTCCTTGTCCCCACACTGACGAATATGTGTTGTACTTAACAGTTTCTAAAATTCACTGAACGCTGTCCTGGTCTAACTGTTACTTAGTGGATAAATCTAGACTGTTCATCTTTGTGCTGCTGGCCTTCCTCATGTAAGTCAGCCGTCACATGAACAGTGACTTCATTCTCACTGAAAGCAAGACATCCTAGTGTGTACTGAATGACTGGTTCAATTAATTTTCCATGAGAAAAGTGGTAGTCTGTCARGCMACCAAAAGGTAACACGTCAGAAATAAACATCTGAATGAGGCTGTGACCTGTAAAAAATGAAGTCAGCTGAGTAGACTGGATTCTGATCTGCTTGCAAAACTTTAGAAACCATCTGTCAAATGCAAAACTAGTTTATTTGCACAGTTGAGTTTTGTTTTGCAATCAATAATTGCAGRCTGATTTCCTCATCACTTACTAAACCTTCTGTAATGTCAGGTCCTTCAACAGTTCAAACTCTGTTTCAACAAAATTAAACCAAGATCAGAAACTGCTCGAAGCTGAGTGTCACCAGTTGAACAGGGCTATGTGTTATGTGTGAACCATACAGAACTCAGGGAGGAGCAAGCACGGCAAAGTGAAATAGTGACTGTTAGCTAACATTCCTCTTGGTTTTATAAAAAACCGAGAAAGTCGCCCTATTTTTCTGTGAATGTGGTAGAAGAAACACCGTGTTCAAAAGCAAAAGCTTTTATCACCGWGGTGAGATATTTTAAGAGCTCCTGTGTGATATAAATGGTTTAATTTTGAATGATCGAGTTCTCATCATGGACACTTGAATCCATATTGGTGCGCAGTCAATAAAGCAATACTGATAGGAGCATTTGATACCGTAAATGACAAACTCAAATAACTCGAGTCCTTGGCCCATGAAGCCTTGTAATTACTGAGTGATTTGATGCCACCACATTTTTGAGGGAAGAAAGGGAAAGGAAGGACACGCTCCTCTGTAATGACACAGGGATTTGTTAGCGCGTTCCTACGGAGAGCTAGACCGCTCCAGAACCAAGCAGCCCCACTCATCAAAAACCTCTGCGGAGGGCGGCCGTCTCCTGCGGGATGACGGCACGGTTAGCACAAGCATCACCCAGTGCCCGGGGGCGGACGGGGCAGAGCTGCCTCTCAGCAATTCGGCCAGGGGGCCTTTCCCAAGCACACACCCCTTGTCCCAGTCCCGCCCGGCCGTTCCTGCACAGCGGCCGAGCCCCCGCCGCCCGGGCCCGCTCACCATGCTGCCGACGCTCGGGCGGCGCTGTCCCGGCCCGGGGGCTCTGCCCCCCCGCTTGGTCCGTGTGTCCTCCCTGCCCGCGGGGGGCACTTAGCAGAGTTCTCGGTCGGAGAAGCGCACCACGCAGCGGGAGTCCCTGCGGGCCCTGCGGACGGCAGCCATTTTCCCGGCGAGCAGGGCCGGCGGCGGGAGCGGCGGGACACGGCCCGGGCGAACCCGCCAGGTCAGAGCGCCGCCTCTCGCGCGGGCCGCTACGACGCGCGACCGCACAGACTCTCCGCCCCAGCGCGCACCGCGGCCCGCGCCGCCTCTGCCGTCCGCKGCGGAGCGGCGCAGGGCCTGCTGGGGAGCGTAGTCCGCGGTGGCACTCAGTGGGAAGCGCAGGGGAGCAAAGGATGCCGGGAACTGTAGTCTCCGCKGGTGGGGATCCCGGCAGGCGAGAGCCCAGGGGCAGGAATCGAGGGAAAGCGGCGATGTCCGGGCGGCGCGATTTCCGCCGTGACTGCGATGAGGCCGGGACCCAGGCACAGCCGACGAGGTAACGAGAGAATGTTCAGTGACGCGGCTGCGGAAATAAACAGTGGTGCCGAGGCCATTGAATCTCGTGGCCGTGATCGTTTGTCCGCCTAGTTCAATGAGCACAGTTRTCACCTGCTGTCAGCACACGCCTCGTCAGGTTTTCTAAAATCGGTCTAAAATTATTTTTTTTAAAAACGTGTCGCAGTCTTTTCTAGAAAAAAAAAACACGTGTATGGAGGTGTGAACTTTTGTGCATGTCTACTGCCCTGAGTGTTTTCAGGAGGAGAAGGAGGAGGAGGAGGCCTGTGTCTTCTCTGGAGGGGAGGTGAGCACTCTTGCTCGGGCAGCAGAAGCACGAAATGGGGATGCAAAGGCTRTGGGAGTCTGCAGGGCGTTAGCAGTGGGTTTCGCATCCAGGTGACTGTAGAGCTACTCTGCAAAGGCGTGTAAGAGAAGTGAAAAATATATATTAGTAAAAAAATCCTTCACTGTGAGGGTGGTGAGGCACTGGCACAGGTTGCCYTGAGAAGCTGTGGACCCCCATTCCCTGGCAATGATTAAGGTTAGTTTGGATGGCAGTGTGAGCAACCTGATCTAGCAGAAGGTGCTACATGATTTTTAAGGTCACTTCCAATCCAAATAATTCTATGATTCTTTTGGGAATGAAGAAGCCTTGCCTCTAACAACAAAAAAGAGTGTCCTACGGCTGTCACTGGGCTGAGTGCTTATATATGATTATGCACGTGGAATGTAATAGGGGTGGCTTAAAGGAGCAATCTCATGTAAGTGGTACAGTGTTYGTCCTGGCTTCACTGAGACATGCCTGTCTGTGGGACAGAATTTAACTCTTTGTAATATATTCATGTAAATGTAAAAATTAGCGTCTGACTAGATGGGGTAGAGGGAGGCACCCAGAGTTTTGGTTTTTCTCCACACCTGTATTAGCAAATGAATGTCTCGGCCTACATTGTGCTCCTGAATTACAGCAACAGCTCATCCTGTTTCCAAACCCTGGGAATTAACTCTGTGTTTTACTTTAAAACCTAAGGGATAAAGTGTGAAAAGAAGCTGAGACTTCCTGAATCACTATTGCAGTCAGTTCTGATAATCTGTTTTAGATCAATTTTTTCCTTGCTTTCCTTTTTCTGCCCTTCCCAGTGTGTCTTAGGCTGACCGTGTCAGARCCAGGGTGAGCTGCTGGTTCTTAGTTGAGGAAGGCTCAGGCTCCTTTAGCAGCACTTAAGATGTCAAGACTCTTYCCATTKGTTCACACACAATTTGGTATTTTTGCATTCTGGTTTTGTTGTTTAAATTTCTCTCTGCAATGTGAGAGAAGCCCATCATCATTGTGTTTTTGTTTGTTCAGCTGGGTTTTGTTTTCACAGAATCACAGAACTGTTAGAGTTGGAAAGGATCTCTGGAGGTCGTCTAGACCAATCCCATCCAGACCTAACCTGTCAGCTAGAGCAGGTTATCCGGGAGCACGTCCAGGGTGGGTTTTCAATGTGTCCGGAGAGGGAGACTCCACGACCTCCCTGAGCAGCCTTTTTCACTGCTCTGCCACCCTCAATCTAAAGTTYTTCCACACAATTAATGRAACTTCMTGTGTTTTAGTTTATAGCCATTGCTCCTCGTCCTATCACTGGGCATCACTGAAAAGGGTCTGGGACCATTTTCTTGGCACCCACCTTTAAGATATTTATTGGCATTAACGAAATCCCCTCCAAGTCTTATCCAGACTGAACAAGCCCAGCTCCCGCAGTCTCTCTTAAGAGAGATGCTCCAGATATGGTTTGGTCTGGTTTTTGGTTTTTTTTTTGGTTAAAGGCCAGCTCAGCGCCCCCTCTGCGAGGGACCCGGCTCGGCGCCCCGGCAGCAGTCGTGGGGCGCTATCCCCCCGCGGGGAGCCCCGGC